CYTTYRGCTCTCTCTGGCAACTGCTCTTAGTCAATCCAGATCCACTTCCTCAATCCCATGATCTGACAGTTGCCTCATATACCAACAGGCTCTCTCACAGCTTATTCCCTAGTTCCATGGGTCCTTCCAACAGCTGGCTTGGATCTTCAGCTTAATATTCCTTAGTAATTATCCAAATGTACACACCCTCACAACATGCACACACTCCAGTCTTTCCAGTTGCTGTCACTTCAGACACACAGATACCGATGACATACCTTTGGCCACCAGTCCAGTTGCCAGCACTCAGACCTCCACAAATTTGTTTTTCCAGCTACTGGTATCACCAGCACGGAYCCCTGTGACCCCTGGGCCCTCTCCAGCTGCTGGCACTTACTTGTCCATCCACACAGAACAGTCAGATCCCCATCCACGAAGTTACAAATGGAGTACAGTAACAAGGCTGGAAAAGGAGCAGAGAGTTCAACTACTTACCAGCAGCCTTGCAACTGGCCCTCTTCCCTATCTTCTCACATTTGCCCCTTCTCAAATCACCTTGATCCTCCTTTTATGCTTTGTGGTCCTTCCCGTAAACATTTGATAGTAAGTCTTGCCCAATCCCAAGAATCTCTGTCCCTGCATCCCATAATGACTTCAGTGTCCCTCTCAGGGTGATGAGATGTTTGTAGTGATCCAGCCAGCTCTTTCCATTAACCTGTTGGGTGAATTTCACCCTTGGACCCAAGGCTCATCTTTCTCCTTTGACAGGCCCAGATCCAGATCAGGGTTTTTCCCYGGTGCTTACCCAGTCACTTGGTCACTGGAGTTTCACCTCAAATCATTGTTCCTTTATGCTCATGACAATGAGCCTCTGAAACCCCCACATACACCTTACACCGAGATGTTTCCTGTGTTGTGGTTACATTATCAAGCACAGCTTAACAGTTTACAAATTATCTTCAATACTGATATTCTRGATGCACCATAAGCATTGAAGAACACAAAATACAATCAAAATTACTGGACACAAAAACTGCAGCARACCCAAACTTCAAGGTTTTTGGTTTACAAGTATCTGTGATCACATGCTCAAATCCGTAGGGAGTTTTTCCACAGACTTCAAAAACTGACAGATCAGGCTAAAAGCAAAAGATGCTCAGCAGGGGGAAATAGAATAACTTTAATATTTGATTTCTGTTCTTTACTATTTTATCATTTCAGGGCTTATTCTTCAGAAATTATTTGCAAGAAGGTCATGACTATATCCACGACTTGCAAGAAAATGTATGACACAAGTCAAAGCCCCACCCTGGCAGTTAGTGCTTCCCCAGACATCTGTGCAGCTAAGCACAGCACAAAAGSATCTAATGCTCTTGCTGTGAAGCTCCCAGATAATTATTTTTTCAGTCAAAATCTCTCTGTTTCAGAGAGGTCTTCAGAAAATAATTTTTTGACATGAGAATGAGCYCATAAAGAGAGGAGCACAGGAGAAGGTCCTGGAGATTCTTACATAAGGAATTGTGTACTGCCACATATTCTTATATATTTTGTTACTTAAATACTGTTACGTACATATGCTAACTTAAAAACAAAAATGAAAACTCCCCTCCAAAGCTGAACTTGTAGGTTGCTGAAAACCTGCAGCTATTTGGCAGACATAACCACTAATAACATTTTTTTCCCAGATAGAATTCCAAGGATTTTGAAAACCACCACAGAATACACAAATGATACATTAAAATGTATCTTTAGGATTTACAATAGAATAACATCAAATATGCAACTGCCAACTTGTTCAGCAYAGTACTGAAAAGAAGAACATACTGGAACAATAACAAGGAATTCTTGATTCAGCGATTTCTTCACAATTGTGAAATGTTGTTAATAGAATAAAAAGATTACTGGAGATTTTGAAGAAATATATGGGAGTTTCGTGTGAGGTTTCAGCTGTCCACAAYTTTTTTAACTTTCAGAGTTTTCATTTATTTTATAAAACACAATATTTTTAACCAAATAGTTGTTCTCAATAAAAAGTTAAAAAGCAAGGTAATAAAAAACTTTCCAAAACTCAAGAAACTTTTAGGGTTACAAGCTTAGAAGGACAACAGAAGGGTGGTTCTCGGGATCATACTCAGGGCCTCTTCCCTGCCCACTTCCCCACTATCACATCCATTAAGTGCAAAACGTTGAACTCACACAACACAGCTGTGATAAAGCCTTGCAAAGAGACTAGAACTGGATGGACAGCCAGCTCCTTACTGGTTCCAAACCCATAAATGTTAAGGCATTTGCACTGGCACAGACACAGCAGAACAATCAAGAAGTTTTTGGACAACACCAATCACATCAGTTAAGCACGTGGTATTATTTCATAAGCTTTTCCACTTCCATCTTATTCTATTCCTCATCCACCTATTTTCCATACGAAAAGGCTGTCACCTCCCAAAAAGCCCTTGTRAATAAGAAAAAAATAAGCAAAAAAATCCCAACAAAGATGATYTTTTCAGTTCCAAACATACCCTTTTAGTAGCAGGGGCCTGGAGCTACAGGCTATAGTTAAGATGCATTTCCATGATGTATTAAGACAGCAATCAAACTGCTTCCTGGTTTGCTCTCTGCTGACTCTCTAATTAATGCTTCCCATTTGTCCACAGGCTGAGCGATTTTTACACATTCATTAAGCCATCCACAAGGGTCACCACGACCTTTGCTTTATGTAGGTACAGCTACTCCAGAGCCCATGGTTGGATATATATTTGGACTAAGACACTAAATAACAGAGTGGGAAAAAATTATTAAAGTGCTTTAATTTTGCCATAAGACAAACATACTGAGATCAGTTCAGATAAAACAGACCTGACCTCAAGTTTTACTACAAATATGTGTTTTAGGTGGATTGTTTCTACTGGAATGCATTCTTTTTGCCTAGCCGATGTGTGTTAACTACTCAAAATAAAACAAGATTGACAGCACTGAAAAGCAGTTCTGTGTGACCCAATCTCTGACAYGTAGGTTTGTAAATGACCTTGACAAGATGCGAGGGGAAACGCCAGATTTGACACAATGAAACAGAGACAGTGGATGCATTTAAGAGGCTAGAGAGGGAGGCTGCATGATGTAGCAGCTGTAATCTCAAAACATTTAAAAAAAATTAAATTCCACAAACAAATGCCTAACATTAACATTTTAGGCATAAATATTGTGTTGCTGAAGTAACAGAAAGGCATGTGGTAAATAGTATTCATGCAAAATGAATTGGCATTAAACATAAAACCACCACCACCAAAAACCCCACCCACTCCTGCATTTATAGCCCCCCTCTCTTTCGCCAGGGGAAAAGAAAAAAAAAAAAAAAAAAAAGAGTAAGGTTGAATGACACAGAATTTTTTCAGTACTTCAAAAGTGACTGCATGGAACAAATCCATAACCTTCTGATGTGCGGCTCTCTCCATTTCTGGAGTTGTTCACAACGCATACTTCCCTTCTGTCCTTCAGTCAGCCGAACTCACAAACAAAGAGGTTTAATTCAGTCAGAGAGTGGGAGGTATTAGACATAAAGAAGAGACATCTGTCACCTCCTGACTGGCGAACAAGGTGGCACTGTCAGGAGTGCAGGCAGCAGGAGAAAGATGGCTGAGAATGGCTTGGATGTTAAGTTTAAGTCACTGTCATAACATTCAGAAATCATCAGTAGAGCGAGATCTCAGGGCAGGACTCAGCGCTGCCTTCACACTCCAGCAAGCTGAAAAACCTTGGCAACTGATCACACAAGAGGCCAAATTCCAGAGGCAGTGGGGATGGGTAAGCGCAACTGCACGCACTGTACCAGCAATATTAATCATGCAATGGTAGAGAAAAAACTCTGGAAATGGTGCAGGAGTAAAGAGGAAATGTAAGAGAKCCTATGCCTGGGACTTACACTGGTGAACGGCTCATGACTAGTTAGTTATGGTGTGAAGCAAAACATTTGAAAAACACAGTATGTTTATTCAGAAGMAAGCAACATGTTTTTAGCAAGTTTCAAGCCTTTCTTCATGGTAATCTCAGTCCTTTCTCACTGTCTCTTTGTCCACTCGTGCAGAGAGTGCAGTTTTCTTCTGCCAGATCATTAATTATAATGACAGGTTTGACCRAACAGCGTTCACCGCAAAGGCTTTGTGGATGCCGTGAAAACCCGACATTCCCTGCCATTTACCCCTAGTTTACAACCACCCACCCCAAYCCCAGCCCTTGCCTGCCCACACACGCATTCTTTTTACGAGTGGGAGTCCTCCAAGCCTCCAAAGGAATGCTAYCCCACCCAGCACCATCAYCCAMACCACCGCCGCCAGCCCTSAATGTCTYGTGTTTTCTGGGAAAACTCTCATCYTCTTAACTCTTTGGGGAGTATTTCGCAACTCCCACGAAAAACCCCCGTTTTCCGAACAACACCAAACCCAACCGTCAGTGTTTTCTGACATAAGGAGCCTGTCGGGATGCACCCTTGCTCCGGGGTCCCTGCTCTGGTCGCTGCTCTCCCTGGTCTCCCCTCACAGCTCCCGGGCTGAGCCCGCCCCGCGCGCCCATCAGAGCAGCGCGAGCGCGGCGCGTGGCGCGTGCGGGCCGCCGTAGCCGGAACAGGAAAGGGGCGGGAGGGGCGCGGCGTGGCCGGCGCGGGCGGGCGGGGAGCGGCGGCCGTGCGGCTCAGCGCGTCCCGGCGGCGCCACAGGTAACCTCGGGCTCCTTTGCCTTTTCCTCCCCCTCCCCGTCCCCTTCCCCTTCCCGCGGCGGTCTCTCCTGGTGCGGCGAGGGCTGGGCCGGGGCCCCGCCGCAGCCGCGGTGCTCCGGGCAGCGAGAGCGGGCGGGGGCGCCTCCGCCGGTGCGGGTTCGCGGCGGGACTGTGGGCGCTGAGCGGCTCCCGGGACACAGAGCCACAGGGTGGGACAGGTTGGAAGGGACTGCTGTGGAGCGTCTGGTCCAGCCGCCCTGCTCCAGCAGGGTCGTTCCAGAGCACGTGGCACAGGAGTGCGCCCAGAGCTATCTCCAGTGCTGGGCACTCTGTTCCAGTGCTCGGTCACCCGCAGAGTACAGTTCCTCCTCATTTTCTGGGAATACTCCCTGTGYTTCATTTTCCGCTCTTTGCCCCCTTGTTGAGCACCACCGATAAGAGCCTGGATCCATCCTCTTAGCTCTCTTCCTTCAGATACTTACAGACAATGCTGAGGTTCCTTCGCAGCRGTCTCTTTCCAGCGGCGGTGTTGGGTTTTTAAGGCTGACTAAAATATTTTTAGAAACTCAGGTTCTCGGTGTCTCCCTGGAAAAGGGCTGAGGCAACATAGCCCTGCACGCAGTCTCCAGAGCAGCTAATTCGCAGCGCTGCTGGAGTATTCATGGAATGAAACACCCAAACGCTCACACTTGAGAGCATCCGGTCCGCAGCAATGGTCTGCCTGCCTAGTGAAAGGAGCCGTGCGACGCTAATGTAAAACAAAGACRGAACGTGACAGGATAAAATGCCARAKTTTTGTGGAGTGTTGCAAATGSTCGTCCAGCTGGTTTGCCAAAACCTTCGGGAAATCCAGTAATGAAAGGTTRGGAATTTCGATTTTTAAGCAGCAGCATATAATTTATACTACTTGTATATTGCTGAGTGAGAAACTACAGGGCTTCTTTTAAGTACGGGAAAACTCTGACCTAGAACTTAGTTGGTGYACCCTTGAGGGCTCATTTAGCCTGTATTAGCAGTGACTCAGGAGGAGCTAAATAAAGGTAAGCTTGCACCTCGGGAGGTGTTCRTGGCCAGTGACCTCACTGTGGTTTTCAGCTTCCTCTGTTGCCTGAAGCAGTGCATCTGGGAGAAGTGCTGAATTCTTAAGGAATTTAAATATCTCTTACTGCATTGATACTTTGGGCA